CACTTGGAATCTTAAAACTGAAGCTGTGGTTTTTTCCATCATGTGGGGAGTTGCCTGGCTAAATTATTGGTCTCAGACTCAGAAAATAGTGCTTCCTCCTTGTATGCAATGTAGTTTAGTATATTTCCTCACTGTGTGATATTTAGTATATTTTTACAGACAAAATTTATTTAGTCTATTTTACACAGGATGGTCTGAGAGAAAAATCAACACTAGTACTTTAATGGTAATATATCCAACATAATTATGTATAAAAGTGAAGAAAAATGAAGCATGTAGCAGTAGCAAAAAGTGTTTTCTGATTATAAAGTAAAAATTGTCATACGAGAGGGAAGATTTTTTTCTTAACATGAAAACCCCACTAGATGGCACTGTAACATCCCCTTAGAAATGTTCTCACTTTGACCGACAACCTGATTATCCATTTTTAATCAAGACTAAAAGAATTTATGAACCAGAGTATGAAGAATCCAAGGGACATAAAATTCTGATATTATACAGGATGGGTTTTCTTTCTGTTTACTGTACACGATCTACTCTTCATTGTGTAGTTTATGATTATCTTCATTACCTTTATGCACTTAAATATTTGGAGACTTTGTTTAAGGGAACTTAATCAGTACCAAATTATATCAAATGCTCCTTAGAATATGGAACTGAACACCATTCCAATCCATAGTTTGATTGCTGGCTAAGCTTTGTTATCTTCCTGCTAGACTAAATTTAGTTGAATAAATTACAGCAACTCCTTCTTTTAAAGTGAAATAGAGGCTATGAGCTCCTCTCTCAGTAGGACATAGCATCAAAAATGCTTGGAAGTTCATTAATACACAGTAGCAGGAATTATTGTTTCAGTAAAACCCAAGAAATACCCTGTGTATTTATAAAGACTCTTTTCTAGGATTTCATCTGTATAATAAATTATTTACAGGTAAAATTGATAACTTGAAAGCTACTTCTTCCAGACAAGATGCTGCCTTTAAATACTCGAGGCATTAAGTGGGAAGAAAGGAATCAGCTCCCACTCCACATTTCCCTCGAATCTTTTAAGACCCTCAGCTATTCAGGCTGCCCTGTTTGTGGGAGTTACCACATGAATGGTGAAACTGCTAAAATCAGGGAATTACTGTATAGGTCTGGTTGAAGAAATGCAGAGGGTCTGTACTGTAGTGTAACACACCCAGTGTCTCAAAATTGAAAGTGTTAGGCTTTCTGATATAATTTTAGTAAAAAAAATAAAGGAAATACAAACCTCCTGCAGATGACAATCTCATGTTGAAAATGCATTCAGACCCTACACATAGCAAGGTGACTGTAAGTGTCTGGATGTGCTTTGAGTTTGGCCCTTCAGAGAATCAGAGCTGGCATGTCCCCTCCTTGGAACTCAGAGTCTCTAAGTGTCTCTGACAGTTTAGGCTTTCAGAGGTTTATTAGTGAGCCAGGTGAAAACTGTGCTGCAGAAGAAGGTACTGCTAAATATAATTGTTTTTTAAGCCCAGTGTATAGATGCTTAGCTACACAAAGGGCTACTAACAGCAGCCTGGTGTAGAATATAAAAAATGCATCTAAAAACTTGATAAAATCAGCCCCAAAAATTCACCAACTAAAGTACGAAATCATTACAAAAGTCAGTTGAATAAGGGGCTGAAAAATCCTAAGCAGAAAAATAGAAATGATGGGAATTTGGAAGGTTGGGCTATCACTGCAATGTGAGCACTACACATCAGCTGCAATCAATAAAGGAAGCAGAGCTACTACTTGCTCAAGTACTCTATTGACAAGTGAGACATAGGTCATTAGACATGGAGTGTGATCCTTTACCCAGCTGCCATACTGTAGTACCACATTTCAGTTCAGAGCAGAGAACTGGAACTATTTTCCTAGTCCTCTTTACCCAGTATCAGTTAATTGCACTGTCATCCTTGGCTGCTAAACCTGCTATCTTTCTCGTGGAGATCACCTGGAGGTTTTTTCACTTACCATAAGCTTCAGGACAGGCCCCTCTCTCTTACTTCTGCTCAGTCAGTGGGAAAATCCTTTCTTGTGTCACAAACCACTATCAAACTGAAGATGACTGTCTTAAGGCAGTTGGTTCACTCTCCACCTGAGTGAGAGTATTGAGTTAGGATGAGTTTAAACCTGCACCAGCATGACAATATAGAGAGATACCCATTGTTTCATCCAAATTCATTTAGATTGGCTGGTATGGTATCACAGCAGAAAGCAGCCAAACAGGTACACACAGATGCACACACAGAGCTCCTCAAAATTCTGATGTATTTAACTGTCATGATATAATAAGACATAACACTCCACATTCGATTGAATCTGCAGCAGAAATGCAGTGAATGGAAAACCCAAAAGCAGAGCTCTTTTCTCTGTCAAAGGACAAGGGGGATCTGCTACAAATAAGCAGTGGTGCTGGTCAGGCACCTTTAGCTAGGGAGACAGTGCTGAAACATGCCTTCTCTTTCTGGTCCTCCCTTGCTACCCCTTCTTTTAGGATCTGTGCTCTCTGGTTCCCCACTGCACCTTTGTGGCAGGGGTTGGCCTTGCAGGTACTTTTCTCATCCATTTTGACCTATGCATGTAATTTAGTTACAGGTTTTAAAAAGAAATATCCCTTTCCCTTGGTGTCTAATTTTTTTTAGATTAGTCAACTGCCAAACTGCCAAGCTCTTTGCAGGCAACCAGCTCTGTAGCTGAAGACTGAGGACCCCATAAGCCAGGTCAGCTGAACAAGGATATGTGACCTCAATTGATATATTTGCCCCATGTCATACATATGAAATTTTTCTCACTGACTCTGTCATTCAGTTACAGATACTTTTTTTTTTAATGACTTATTCTTCTTTTTTCTTGCTGTTTTTCATTTTATGGCACTACTTTGTCACTATCAGCAACTCAGTCATATCTATGTCAACCAATTGAAGATAATTCATGTTGGTACTGTTGCATTAGCTAATGTAATTTCATTCTGTGGTCAGGTATTGTAGTGGTTTTCTTGTTAGTCTTTGAAACAGTTGTTAATACTAATGAATAAAATAATATGAAAATGTGGTAGCTGTGGTGTCATATGTAAGCCTGAGGTAAAACTGCACTTCGACAAGTTCTTTTGTGAAGGAGACAGGACTTGATGCTTGCCAGATCTCTTAAAAGGCAAATTTAGTAATCTAAAGTATTTCTCTATCTCTCTTCACACACAAGGGAGTTTTATCTGTTGCTCCTAAGAAGAAACTGTTCCCAGGTCCAATACAGAAGCATAGCTGGTTTTCCTGATGCCTTTTTTCCCCCCCTCTAGAATAATAATGTTTTGCTTGGACCATCTTCCTCTTTCTCACTAGCTGTTTCAAGTATTTCTATGGCTCTAATTCATCTTTTTTTTTTTTCTCATAAGACAGTACAAATACATCCTCTGAGGTTCTGTTAGATTCTCATATGCAAGGTATATAATATAAAACCTTAAAAATATATTCTTATTATGTCATCTATGAAACAATTCATTTATTCATAATAACTCTGTGTGTATTTGCTTGGTAATCTGGCAACATTTTTTAACATATTTATCAAACATCACAGAGGATTTGGTTCTTTTGCAGTCATTATTTAAAAGATTACTCATCCCCAGTTTGAGAATTTGAAAGAAAATCTACAAAACACAAATTTTTGCTTAATTTTTAGTGTGGTCTTCCAAAATAGAAGTACTATATTCGTCCAGAATTAGATTATTTTTAAGATGGTGGCAACAAATGTATTTTTATACTTGGAGAAATTAGTATGTTTTACATTCACCCTGCAACAGCTGGTTTAGTCTGGCATTATACTTTTTTCCAGAGCTGTTGAGGGATTTCTTTAGCCCAATAGGATTTGTATTGATTTCTGTTGCACTTTTTTTAGTGGTCCTTATTCTTGGAGTTTTTTCTCTTATATTGATTCTGAAAGCTCCAGCCATTTGGGTTATTATAAATTTTGCTATATTTATGCTGTAGTTCTACTACAATAATCAAGAAGTCAGACCTTCACAGACTTTCATGCACACACACACAACATAAAAAACCCACACACATACACAACTGAACTTGCAACTGGAACTCTACATTTGAATAAACATGAATATTTAAATTGTTAATAAAACATCTTTTGCAGTTTTATGTGTGACAAAGACCCTCTGTAGCTTGAAGAGCTCTGGGTGTAGAAAAACTAGTGAAGAGCAACTACCTTTCCCACCCTCAGGTGAGAAGCACATTGAAGAATATCTGCATGCAGAGGAGATGGGAGGAGATGATGCCCACAGAGTGGACTGAGGCTGAGCAGAGTGAATGTTTTTACATGGTCTGGTTCTAAGCATCTGAATGATAAAGTCAGTTCCTACTGTGGGATGGGAACTGCTGTAGCAGTTATACATCCTACATGCTTGAAAGAATAGGGATCCTGATTCAATTCAAATTCTTCACCATTCTCTAGAAACGTGGACTTTTCATTTAGCACAAGGTTTTACCTTTGCTCTTAAGTGCTGAATTTAGCACTCAGTATTTGGTGAGTTGTGGGAGAGGAAGAAAAGAAGATTTTCTCATGTAATCAGAAAGGAAGCACTAAGAAATGGACTGGCTTAACACCAGTGGAGGCATCCACAGCTCAGTAGTTTGGGAACTATTCTGGACTGTCAAGCAGCATTGCTGGAGCTGAGCTGTTTCAGAGAGCTCGTTGTGGAATTGCATTGTTGAGTCATAAACTAAACAGTTGTAGCTCCTGTTAAGATTTTCTGATTGTAATACCATTCCCTTTAGAAATGGAAGACCATTCATTTGAAAAAATAATACATAAAGAACAGAGCCAGTAATACAGGAGCTGAACTTTGTGTGTAGTGGACCATGCACTGGGATCCATGGGCCACAAACAAGATGATAAAGATGGATGGCTGTTGAACTTGAGGATAAAACACAGTCCCCCCATCACTTTTAAATTAATAAAACTTAATTTTAATAAAAAGTAAAAGCAGATACAAACTGGGAATCAAACAAACAAAAAATAGATGCAAATCTGATAGACCCTGAATAAAATAGTTTCAAAATACTCAGACTTGCTTCTGTGACACTCCATATCACATGTCACATATTATTCACTTGCCTGAAGACTTCTTTTGTGACAAATTCTGGAAAAGAGAAAGAACTGAATGATAGATAATGAAATCTTATGACTTCTGTATTTTTTTTTCACAGAGAAATTTTTAAACATTGAGATTTTTGTCTTTCTTTCTGAAGAAATTAATTATAAAATTAACAGATAAAGTACAAGCAAGTTATATTACTTCAACAGAAACTTGAAACTGATTATAAAAGTGAGAAATACAAATTTCTCATGACTGTCATTCTGCTATTGATGGTAGTGGCAGCTGCATCTTCACACAGCTCGATCAGGGGCTCTGAGATGAACCTCTAAACCCCTTTTGTTTCCCAAATGGGACTTCAAAATATTTTTTCTCTTTGTATTATTACACAGACTGATAATCAAGAAGTCTGAAGTTAGAATTGACATTTAGAGAAAAACACATTTTAGTAAGTTTTTGTAGGGAATTTGAGAGTGAACAAAATAAAGTACTGTATAAAAGGATCCTATTTCTCTATATTCCCATCTTCCATTTAACTGGCAGCTGGAAGTAAAGATTAGTTTAGCTCCAAAATACATAATCTTATGCAGCTTTCAATAAACTAATGATTTGTATTAGTCCCCCAAATACACCTTTTTTTGGGCTAAAACTGAATCTTTGTATCTTTTTATCTTTGTCTCTTCTCTGTAAATTTCTTTTTCTGTAAGAAATTATATTATTGAACATTTGAAAATAAGCCAAAAGAAATGAGTATTGGAGTGGGCCTATAATGTGAGGATGTTTAGATGTGTACATAGTATAAAAAAATGCTTATCTAATGCCACTGCTAATCATCCTAAATTACACCTTTAAAACTAACATTATCAAATGCTTAAATTACATAACAAAAATGGCATACCATTTGCAGAATTTCAATTTCTGTTTGAAGAGTCTCACAGACACTTTCCCAACTATCATCTTTGCATTTTTCCAATTCTTTCTTAAGTCTGGGTCCAAAAACAAAAAGAAATTTCAGGTCAGAGAACTGTTGCTGGGCAGCTCTTTTTCCAGCTTTGGTCCCAGTTGTCCATTTGACTTGTGTGAGAAAAGCCTCATTGATCTATTTTCATGATCAGGATTTACGTTTGCTAGTTTTGTAATTGGCCCTCCAACATGCCACTCTCTCACAGTACTCTTGGATTTTATTCAGCACTGATAGTTGTGATGGCAATGTAAGGAAATCCAGAAAGCAACACTTTGGGTTTTTTCAAAGTATGTCTTGACAAAGTAATTTTTTAGAAAAATTTCTGGACTGTGTTGTTTTTATAAACCATGAAAGATTTAGGGCCTCATTAGTCATCATTTTCCTTATTTAAACATGTGAATTTGAATGCTGATACTTAGGAAGTACCATATGTTACTGTTCTTATTTTTCCTGAGTATCTATTTGTAGCTAGTGATGGAGACAGACTGGGGGATTGGATGGGTCCTCTGCCTGACCCTGAGCTATCACCAATCCACACCCTTCCACAGACACTGCTGCTGCTGCTGTTCTCCCCCCACTGCTCCCATTATTCTTCATCACTTTACTGACTGTTTCCCAATAGTCTCAGCCAGGAGTTCTCCAACTTTTCTACAGTAAGAATTATTTTTAATATAGCTATTTCTCCATTCGAAAGATCATTTTAGTCCTGCTAAAAGGAGACACCTGAACTTTGCACATCAGTGACTGTAGTGGTTTAAATTAATACTTGGTTGGCCAAGAGAAATCTGTGCCAGAGCTTTCAGTAGTCTGATAAATACAAGGTGATGAGATTAGACTGAGTCCTTCCATGGCTGTCATAAGAAAAGCATAATGACAAAGCTAAAGTTGTTTACCCTTAATACAGTTTCAGGAAACAATGTGAATATTCTGGGACATACAAACAGACTGAGAAAAGGAGGAAAAGTATATATTCTGCTTGTCATTAAATAGCTAAACTGGTGCATCAAAGCCAGATGTTGTTTCTTCTGAAGTTGAAAGAGAAGGTAGCAACCATTTTTTCTTTTATACACTATAATAGACAAGAAATTATTTAACCCTGTTCTACAGATGATGCACCTCTTTGGCTGCAATAGAGTTGGTTTTCTACACAAGACAATGGCTTTATTAAAAGTAAAAGATATATTTTCATACGAGAGGAATGACTTAGTCACTGTGCAACATTGTAAGTCAATTTTGCTGTTCCTGTGGAAGATGCAAATATCTTGCCCTCAATATGAAAAAAGTATGAGCTGCATGTGCTTGTATTATAAGGGAGTAAATGCCTCTGTTTTCAGAAATATTTCTCATAACACATACAAATATCAAAAAAAAAAGGAAATTTTGAACTAGACTTTAAATAATGAAATATTCACTGCACTGCAGTATATTGTTACTTTACAGACCATTTCATTGAGAGAAGTTCATTTCAAGGTCTAAGATCAGCTTGTGATCTTGATTGAATCAGCCTAACTTCATTGCCTTGTCTACTCATTTTTTCCTCAGTGTTCTCTGAGGAACAGAGAACTTAGAAACCTAAGACAAACAAAAGCCCTACTTTGCCTAATTTGCCTTAGAAAAAGACACAGTTTGTCGATCTCAGAGAAAATGCTCTCTCACTGTCTTCTACATTATAAAACTGATGCATAGTCTGTTTGCTAGCTGTCAGCTAAGAATGATACCAGTCCATGGCAGCTGTACATTAAGGATAGAACAACCAGAAGATAAGCAGTAGGAGTTGCTTATCTGTGTCCTGGGATTGTGAATTAATCACTATTGACGATGTGCTTTGAAACTCATATTTTGCATATGGATTTTAAAAATTTTATTTCAAATATTTTATAGAACTTTTAAATGTAGTGACAGCAAAATTACTTATATAGCATCAGGTTGTGGTGATAAAAGACACATTCATTCAAATGTGGTGTTTAATTCTTACATTAATCAATTGATTCTGCTTTCAAGTCTTACTTCTTTCTTATTTAGAAGCTAGATAATTACAGTATGTGCCAGGAATATTATACTCACAAAATAAGGGCTGTCTGTTAGGTTACAGTCTACAAAATTAATGCATTGGAAACGCCTGAGTTACTGAATAAATGATGAAGTTTTACCAGAAGGAATGTGAGACAATGGAACTATTAAAAAAATGCTTAACCTGAAAGCAGATTTAGGTTTTTCATTTTACATTTAAGATAAGCAGGATATTCATATTCATCTTTCCACTATCAGATTAAATGTGCAAACCAATTATTCATGAAACTATACTGTTTAGATGGAAGGCAGGTTTTCTGTCACCTTTGGAAATGGAAAGAGATGTAACTTTTGCCAGAACAAGGATTAATATGACAATTATATCCTCGCTTATGACTATGATAAAAAGCAGATCTCTTATAAAGAATAATCTGAAAAATCACATTAGCAGTTGGCCGTCCATGTCCTTTGGTTTTGTTTTATTTTTACCATTGTGTTCTCTTTGGTGACAATAAAATACATCTTTATAATAAGTCACTGCACTGCACCAAGAGTGCATGGGTAAATTACAGCATGCCAGGCTCTATGAACAGCTGGAGCGGAAATGCCGGATTTGCAGTAGCAAAACCCAGTCTTAAATCAAGTAGATGGGACAACAACATCAGCATTTTTGGATGCTAGCTTGTCCTAGACTGAGCTCTACTATCAATGGCCCATTTTCCATTATTTTGAATGCCAGAAGTGACAGAGATGAAGAAGGAGGAGACCACTGAAGATGATCGATTTTGCAGCTTTGAAATGAGCCCAGCTATTAAATGTCATTGGCATTTGTGGTTGATCCACTCTTCTTGAATTTCAGCTGTATATCCACAAGGAAAATAGGAAAAATAATTGTGAAATCAATACATGCTGGTATTATAAATTGAACTATGGAAAAAATAATGTTATTGTCAAACAGGTTTCTCCAAAAATCATCCATGGATTCAAATTACTGGATGAAGACTTCAGTATCCAAAACTTGCATTTCAAGAATAATTTTATGTTCTCAAAGGAGAAATAATTCATGTAGAAGGCAGGGTTAACATGCATTTTTGGTCTGCTTTTTTTCCCCCTAAGTGGGGATGAAACACTCTAACTAGTTGTTGTTGGCATTGCAGAAGGAGCAGACTGTCTCTTAGTAATGTTTTGCTGAGACAGGTAAAACATCTTTGTATTCTCCTTCTTGTCTTTGCCTTGTTTATGACCACCATTTTATTTTTTAAACATAAATTGGAGGGAAAACATTATGGTGTGTTATAAAACAGAATTGCTTGACATTGATATACAGGGCATAGAATTCATGGTACAAAATGAAATTGTGTAGGAAGTTTTATATAAAACTTGAGAGTATGTATGTTGATTTTCCTGAATTTTATTGTAAACTCCAGGAGATGCATTTATCAAGGTTTTAAAACTTTATTGAGATTGAGGAAAACATCAAAGACTTTGGTTTATTGTCTCAAGCTGAAGCAGAGGTAACACACTGAGGTCATTCACTCCCACTTCAGCACTGGCACTAAATTAATATCTATGTTTCTCTAGTGAGAGCAAGATTTTGCTGGGTATTTACAATGTGCTGACACTACTAAACAGAAAATGCTATTGATACAGCTGCAGAAGTCAATCAATTTCAGACTATTATCAATTGATTGAGGAAGGGAGAAAACAAGTCCTAAACGTAGTTTAGTATCTCAAAATATAAACTCAAGTACTTGAGCTACACAATTAAATTATAAAAGTCTGTGCTTGGTGGAGCAGAAAGAGAATAAAAAGTAAGAAAGTGATCTAGGAGTAATAATAAATACTAGCAAGAAGATTAAACATGAAAGTGAAGAGGGTACTAGACCACATAACAATGGGAATTAAATGTAAATTAAAAGAAATAGAGCTACCTTAGGTTAAATAAGAAAGTTTTGGCTTTTGCTGTCCTGGATCAAATGCTGAATGTAAAATATGCAATATTCACTGATTAAAGCTTGCATTTTGTGAATGCTGTCAGGCAACTATTTATAGGAGTAGTTAGAGGTCTTCAAAAGTGTGGTGGTATTTTTTTTAATTTATATTCCCCAAATACATAAAACATCACAAGCCATCTTTGAGGAATATATTATTATAGATGAATAAACATGAAAAGGTTAAGGCACGCTGAATTAAACTGCACATTAGGGTGAGATCTGCTTTTGTGCAGAGAGTAGACCAAAGCTATATGGACTACTTTTCACAGGAACTGGAAGAAGAGTTACACAGGAAAGGAAAAATGTAGAAGAATCAGAGATGTGAAAATAAAACGTGTTTCTAGGGGTCAGTAAGATTGCTATTGAGGCAGGGAAAGTAAATAGGGGTCAATGATCCCTCTCATTCAATTATCTTGATTTTTCTATTGTACAGGGAAAATTAGATCCTAATCTGGATATATTAATATTGCTACCCTAGTGCTGAAATCAGTGTCTCTGCTGATTTCTTCACGTGTATAATTTTCTCAGAGCTAAAAAGGATTTAGAATTGTCCTTCTTTCCTTCTGCATTATGGGCTCTCCATACTCTACTCATCTTCCAGGTTGAATGCATCTCCTTTTTTTGACAAGTAGGTGAGAGGTTTGTACACAATATTTTTACACCCTTTTGCTTTTTGTTGGAAATAACTCTTGCTTTTATCTTGTCCACAGCTATATTTACTTTTGATGTTTATGGTTGTATTTTGCTCATACAGTAAGCTCTGACCTCTCCTTTGCTTCCAGGTACTTATTGTTGAAGCCTTAGTTGTGTACAAATAGATCAACTTGCACTGTATATAATTATATTCCTCCTCTTTTTCAGCAAATTCCAGTCTACAAGGTGTAGTTTTTTGATTATTTTACACAATTGTCATAAAACACTTTCTATTCCAAAGTCATTATTTAAAACATTAACCATGACCAGCAGTGACTGTAGTTACCTTCTTCAAGTGCCAGAATTTCTATTTTCAGACCCATTCCTGTTGTTAGTATTAGTCATTTCTTTCCTTCATTTTTTAAATATGTCTTCCCCAGGTTAACTAGTAGTTTCCCATGTGGGTTAACATCAAATACTTTATTAATGTCTAAATGGATGGCATTTGAATTTTCTTTGCCTAACCAATTTTTTGTCTTATCAAGGAAAGATATCATTAGTCAGATTTGATCTACTTTTTGTAAATACATACTGCAACTCATAATGGAAACTTACTTTAACATAATTCAAACTATAACAGTTCCACTAGGCACTGCTATTAAAAAGGAAAGCTCAAAAAATCAATGAGGAGATTGCCATTGAAAAACTAATTTTGAACCATAAGAATTACTCCACAGACTGATATCTCTAGATTATAAAATTTAACATAAAATTAAATTGCAAATTTTTTTTTACCCCATCAGAACCATACATGGCCTTAGGCAGTCTGCTGTTAGCATGAAATATTTTTCAGCCCTAATGAATATATTTCCTGTATGACCTGTATGAAAGAAAGAATTACTTTTTCCTTCCTAATTTTGGTAATGGAGTTTCTTTTTCTGTATTATAAAGTCTAAGAAGCAATACTATATTTTTGGATTTAGACAAGTATACAAAGCCTTGAACTACTTAGAAAATAAGCAGATTTCATGCATTTCCTTTCTGCTACTTCTTTTCTGAAGTAGAAGAGAGATTCAGGTTTCAAAGAAACATTTTATCCTCAGTCTACCTTTTAAATGGTGTGAAAAATATCAGTTTTAGGTAGAAATGTTCTGTTGTTAGTCTAAATGAGCCTCAATTAAAATTATTTCTAGGCTGCTTTACTTAAGGCAACACAAACATTTAAAATTAAAATGTGAAAGAAGATAAATAATTAATACAGTAATTACAATTAATATAACAGTGAAATGACATAGTTAAGAATTTACTGGTATCAGTTAGTCTCTGCTTGACTCCTGAGTTGTTCCACTCAAGTGATGCTACTTGCTACCTGCCAGGGAAATGGGACTCAGGAGAGCTGATGCCAAAGTTCTTTCCTGCTGTTTTGTGTTTGGGGTTGGCATTGGCAGAAAAGATGATTAAAATAAAGCTTTTGATCTTAATTGCAGATCTCTTCAGGAAAAAAAAAAGCCTTTTCTTAAATATTTCTCTGAATTATGGGCCTGTATCTTGACACTGGCATAGTCCAGAGTGCCTGCTTTGAGTAAGAGGGTACAGTGTCTTACCCATAACTGTATCTGTGCTTAACATGCAAATTTTGGTTACCATTTTCTGTATCTGGTATGTATTAAAACAAGCCTCTAACTGCAGCATCAACAGCTCTGAGAATTACCCCTGTGTGTTTCTCATGACCTTTTGTAATTCTTTGATGGATTTGAGAGAAATTTTATGAAACTGCAGACGTGGTATAGGACATTTTTCTCAGATCAAAGATGAATTGCTGTAATTTGAATTAGCTGGCTACACTGAAACACAATTTACTTTTAGATATATACTTAATTGTAATGAAGATTCTTGCCTTGCCAGCTACTTTTGATATTGATTTTTAAGCTGGAACTAGGAATGTGATACAGTAACAGACTTGCAGGGTGATCAGGGAGCTACATATATCAGGTTATTGATGCTGCCTGTCTCTCACATTTGTTCTAAGGAAGCATTAAAAACATTGGTATTTTTGCCATTTAAAGAGCAATGTGCTTTCCAGCTCTGTAAAAAGAGAATCAAATTTTGTGCTTATTTCATAGAAAAAAATATGTATTTTTGATCCACATTACTTGTGCCAAAATATTATCATCTTTATATGTAATAAAAATGATTTTCAGCAAAAACTAGAATTCTATTCTTGCAATAAATTTTGTATGGGGAAAAAAATCTAATCTTGTTAGGCTAAAAAGGGTTGTTTCTCTGACACAGTAGGTTCAATCACATCGATTTTAACATGGCCAAAATTGACTCCTGGTAAGATATATACACTGGTATATGCATATATCTCAAGGAGAACCTTCAAGGATGAAAGCTATGCAACCTCTCTGGCCAACCTTTTCCTTTGCTTACACTCTCCTCATGATAAAAATGTTTTTCCTTAAATTCATTCTAAATCTTCTCGTTTCAACTCCTGCTTTTTGCCTTTTGTTGTCCTGCTGTGCAGCACTGTGCAGGTCCTGGCTCCATCTTCTTGATGATATCCTTGTAGGTACTGGAAAGGGAGCAGGTACCTCCTGGGGGACTATTTATACACTGCAATATTTATGGCACGGAATACCTTAAAGCCCCCCTTTCATTCTCTTAATTCAGTAGTCCAAATCAAGGAGTGATGGGTAGGTTATGTCAAAGAAGAGGAAAAAAGGAAGAATTGCTAGAGTTGTATGAGTCTGATAAGAGTTTGGGATGATTCTGAAGAGCACAGCACTATGACAGGGAGAGGTAGACAAATGAGGATTGCCTGACTAGCTCTACAGAAAAGCAGAATCTATTAGTGCTGACATGGAAGTACAGTAGCATATCTCTGTTGCTTCTGGCATTTGAGTTAACTTATTCAGGGCTATCTCTCTCTCTATAAAGCACTGAGCTCTTCTGATCAAAAGCAAGTGCAAGATAAAAGTATGATTTAGGCAAATCCGTCCTAAATTTTTTCCAGTATCTGAAATGAAAAAGTATTTCAATGTAAAGAAAATGTATTCAATATATTATTACACTGCAAGAATCTCTTGCATTTTGTGATATTAGTCATAGCAGCAGCAGCAGTTTATATTTTGCACTACATGCAATTATCAAATAATGTAATCTTATCTTGACCACAAAAGAAGGCATTTCATTAAACAAGAAAATATCATCCTCCTTCTTGCTTTGGTTGTAAATGGCACTTGCTGATTTTGCAGTTAATAGAATTTAATATGTTTTATCCACGTTTTCCACCCAGATAAAACCAAAGTACCGTTCTGCAGACCTGTGAGTTACTTTCCCTACATAGAAAGGCAGACATATCTGGATTTGATTGATCCCTAGGATCTCACTGGCAGAGCTGGGAACTTAAAGTAACACAATGTTTGTTACTTCTGTACCTTACACAAAGGAAACCTGTTACAGAAAACTAATTACACCAATTTCAATATTCAGTGGCATCATGGCAGTAAACTACTCCAAGGGAAGTCTGTTATTTAGAAGGAAGGTGACAACCTCATGTATCACAAGCCCTAATATATCACGATTGAATGAATAATGTAAACAAGTGAATTATAACATGCTGTCCTAAAGAATCGTTGCTGCTATTATTATTTACACTGTGTCTTCTATGTATATGTTGAATGCAAATTTTTTGCTGCTCTATGCAGGATTGTGAGCTAATTAATTTTTATGCTGAGGGAATTTTGGCCATGTCTCAACACCATGTAAGAGGTTGAAGAGAGTTAGTAATAGGGCTGATATATCATTTTCTTTCAAAAACTGATATTCAGCAAAAAATGGGCCATTACCAAATCATCTTTCAGAAAATTGCTCAGGGTTCTCTGCAAAGTTATAACTTTCCATTGAAAGTTTTCAGAAAAAAAAACCCATGTTATATTTATTTATTTCTGTCAAAAGCTTAGCAATATATAGGAAAAACCCCCACGATGGTAATGACAGCTATGTTTTCCTTAACAACTTCTGTTAGAGAATCTTTCAGACCAGCTTTTCCAGAAGGAGTTTCTTTGCATTGCCTATTCAATATTTTTAAATATCCACAGGCACTTTCATCTGGAACATCATAAGACAGAAAAAAGATGGACAGTTCTGTGATATGGGGCTTTCTGCAAACTGGAACTGATAGAGATCAGAGAGAAAAATCTGCATTTAGTAGCTTCAACCCAGGGCCCAGCTGAGCCCAGGAGGTTACTGTGGCCCACCCATCCCACTGCAGTCAGGCTCTGTGCAGCCCATCAGCAGAGATGCCTTTAGCACTGGGCAGTCCATCAGTACTTTGTGCACCACCACCAGTTTTACAAGAACTTAAGAATTGGTCTTCCACCCTGTGGAAGCAGCAGTCTTTTGTTCTTCTTCCAAGTCTGACTGACATCCCTGCAAACTCTTCCAGTTTTTAGTTCCTTTGAGTATGCATGTGAGTGTGAAATGCTGTACTAAACAGCAGGAATTTGTCTTCTCTAATAAAAAATGAATGGTTCTTCTGATTCCAAAGGAATATTGTACAGGAAAGGTAAAATAGGCATTGCCACCAGGATTGGTTTGCAGTTACAGGTCTAAAATCAAATTTAGGAACTCATTAACACGAGACTCTTACCTTAAACATTCAGGATCAGTCTGAGGTTTTTCAGTTACTTGGACTTTTTCTGCTTCTAAATCTTTGGTCATTCTTTCAGCCTCCCTGATTACTTTCTCAAGGTCTAAACATGAAATTAGAATCACTTTATAAATATATATTAATCATCCATATTCAAAGACTTTCTACATTTTCTAAATTTATATTTTCTAATATTTCTTCATGCAACTGTTTGAAGGGAAAAGGCATCTAAATAAAGAACATGAATTATTTTATTATTATTGCAATTGCATATTGCAATCTGGAAAGTTTCACTCCCTTTCTCAAACAATTTCTGATCATATTCACTGCTTTCCTTAGCTCTTACTGTGACATGTTACTTATATATTTGTAAAAAGTTTACTAAAAGGCTCTAGATTACATTTTTTAATTCAGATCTCAAAATTATTCCTATTGCTCTGATCACCTTTGACACAGAACTTTTTGTGGTTCCTTCTGTATCTTTTTAGCTTTTCATTTTATAGAGTTTGCTGAGTACTTGACACCCCTCCTAGATGTCCTTTTTGATGCACAGACTTCCATACAAGAACACACAAATGTCAGCAAACAGAAGACAGTTGAATTTACGACTCAGAGGTTTAGCACCCAGGACAAACCTGTCTTTCTCATTGCTTTTAAAACATTTGAATTTTAGTGACATTCTTTAATTATAGGTTAATGGGTTTAAAACAATATTTATATTGATTTTAAGTGCACTTAGAAACACCAAATTCTCCATTTAAGTACATGACTTACCAGCAAAAACAAATATTTCTTTTTTATATTTACAGCTCATGATTCAGCGAATCTCTAGACCTCAGTATCAGTGGCATTCAAAATAAATCTCATTGAAATCCATATTTATTATAGCCATGTTTAAAAATTATGTATTACATATTGTAAAAATTAATTAAAATCTTGTTACTATGATTTCTTTTTATTGAGAAAAGAAACTTGACTGAAAAGATTTTTCAAAAGCCTTTGTCAAGCAGAAGTAATTATCATAGCAAGTAATTATCAGGCACACCTTTGAGTTCACTTTGGAGAGTAAATAAATCCTGCTTTAACTCATTCTTCTGCAGCTGGAGTGCATTTAACTGAACATTTTTGTGTTCCATTGACTCCATTTCTAAGAAAAAATACATTTAAATTAAAATACATTGCAGTTTTAGCATTCATGATACAATCTTAAATATTCTTAACTACTTCTATCAATATTCAGCTAGTGAAAAAGAACCTTGAATATAAAACAAAAATAAACTAAAATCAGTCATATAAAACACAATTCACAAGAAATTATAGGTCATACAGTGCATTCATACCTATGAAAGAAAATGTTGTTTATTGTTATTAAGATGTTCAACATATTTTGTTGTCTGGGCAGAAAAAGAATGTTTTGCTTTAGAGTTACTTCAGCTATAAAGAAAGGAAGATGACTCATTGCATAGGTGGAGAACAGACACCTCTCAGCAGGACTGAAAAAAACCCACTTAATTTGTTTAGTCTCATGGATATTTGAGCCTGACTGTTGACAGCATCTGGAATGAATTGTGATTGTTTTTCTAACAACTGGAGGTCCTTGCATAATTTCCATGTTAAGAATTACTTAAACTTTTCACTTCAGTGTTGTCACTGTGCTCAGGACTGGAGCAGACCAAAGACAGGAAACTGTACCTCAAAAAAGGTGCAAATAAAGGGTGGAATCAAGACAGCAACTGAACCTAGAGAAGAATGTTAGTCCCTCTTCAGGTCCTACCAATCATTTAACTGCCCAGATCTGCCTGAATATGTAAAAATTAATTGCTAAGAGTAGCACTTGCCACCAAATACAGACTTTTTTCAGTTGTAGATTAGAATCATAGCAACAAGAAATAAGAAAGAAGTACTACCAAGTGCAGGCTCAAATGGATAGTCCTGTTTCAGTAACTTTACAGCAGATATTAGGAATTGGAAGTGCTGGTGTTTGACAAATCATGAGACTGGAAAGGACTTTGAGGGGTCATCTACTGCATTCCTTCTCCTGAAGGCAGGATCAGCTGTACCTCTGCCATTTCTGACAGATGCTTGTCTATCCTGTTTTTAAAGACCTTTGATAGTGAAGACCCCTAATTCCTTTGATAAGGGAATCTCCTAGGGCAGAGTGTTTTAGTTCATTGTTCCTGGAAAAACTTCTAAACAGTCAGACAGACTCTCTCTTATTGTGTTTTACACTTGTTACTTTTCATTCAGTTCACTATAGATATGCAGAATATATTAATTTCCTTTTTACAGGATCCTTTAATAACTTGAAGACTGATATTCATATTTCATCAATCTTTTCCTTAATAGGTTAAATAGTCACAATTCTTTCATTTTCTTCTTTCTCATGTGCTCCAGAACTCTGATCACTCTCACTGGTCCCATGTGGATTCTCTCCAGCTGGTCCACATCTTTTCTTAGAGTATAACATCAAAACAAGAAGCACAGTACTCCAGCTAAGAGCTTAACTGCCCCAAATAGAGTGAAAAATTATTTTCCATGTCTCAGAGATCAGAATTATGTTTACATCTCAGTGTGGTGTTGGCATTCTGATGTCATTAACTCATGTTCAGCTCGTGATCCATGACGACCCCTATTTCCTTGCAGAAGGACTGCTTTTAAGTCTGACCCTGTGTTCTGAGAGATCTCATACTCTGGGTCTTAAAGATCAAGTTCTACTGCAAGACATTTGTGTGTGCAATTCCTTTGAAGCTAAGGACATGTACAGAACTCATCCCTAGAGGATTCTAACCAGAACCAGTCAGTGTCTATGACAGAGCACCTCTGTGCTGGCTGACATTAGACATCAGGAGACCCTTCTGCAAGGGGATGGAATTAAAAGTACTGGTTTGCATAGTTATATTTTACTGATTTGTATTAATCCAAGATACACTAGTTTAATATAAGGCTTACCATTTTTCAGCAGTGCTGCCTCATTCTCTAAATCCTTTATTTCAGCCTTGACTTTTTTTTTAATCAAAAGATCTCTATTACTTGTTAGTCCATATTCATTGTTAAACTCTGTTACTTCTCTGGTAAAATTATCTTCCTCTTCAGCAATTTTTCTCTTTGCATCTGTCTGAAAAAAAGAAAGGGAATATTGAATGTTCAGGTGAAAAAAAAAAGGAAGTCTTTGTTAGGCTAGGCAGACTGAAACACACTGTTGTTTCTACCCTTAAATTTGTAGTATAATATAAATAAAAAACCAAAAGTAAATAAATGTAAAAGTAAATAATTTCCTGACTTATAAGAACATGAAAATGGTCCACAGTTCTACCATTATGTCTGTGGTTTCAACTTTCTTTTTTTTCCCCTGTAAAAATGAAGGATATATTCTTAATAATAAAGCATGTTAAAAATCACTACCTTATCTTCCAGAATTGCACCAACAGTTACTTGGTTCAACTATTTTACTGAAGTTAGTAGAAAGTTCTGTTTAAAGTCTGTAGCCTAGCATGGCTGTTCCTCTTTTTTAGATTGTTATTAATTTAAATCAAGGTGTTGTTTATTCCTCTGCAGAACTCAGACTTACTTTAACTCCCTCAATAACTACCAAGAAAGCTATAGTTGATAGGAGATTACTGTTTAATTTTCTGGAAAAAAACCCCATTCAAACAAGAAAGGTTATATTCAATTTCTTTTAAGAAGTCTTAATTGATTGCTAAGTCAAATGAAATGAAATGTCCCCTATATACAGGAAAAAAGAAATGATAACCCATATATTGAACTTGACTGGCTCCAATTAAAAGAAACTTCACACCTATATTGGGAATACTTTGGGTGCTGCAGAAATATTACTCAATTAAGAAGATATCTGCCTAAAGATTTAGGGTTAATATCAGTGATTTGGACTGACCATTTGAAATTTAGCTCTGCTGAACATTTAAAGTGCAGATACATATGCAGAGAAGACTCCTCTGGTATTTCTTCATTGGTACAGACCCAAGTATGCCCAGGGAAGTAAGAGGAAGGCAATATTCAGGTTGGCATATGAGAGAACTGAAAAACTTCTTGTCTGTTGTAAGCAGCTACCTTTGAAGAGGTGGTTAGGTGTGTCTGCCACCAGAGATTGTGTGGCACGTCAGGATTGCTAAAACATGGTGTGGGCCTCCCTGGGTTTTTCCTTAGATCCTTCTCAATCTGTTTGATTGTGGATGAGCCAACCCAACTTAAGGTGAGGCTTTCCTACTTTACTTTTAAGAGTAAATAATTATCAGAACTGGACTTCAGTCATACAGCAGCAGACATTAGAAAACAAAGTCAAGAAGGTTAAATCAGCTTTGTAGATAAACTGCAGCATACACTACCTTAGATCGTGGTTTAAATTAAAAGTGATAATTTATCTACATTTACATTGTTATAAAAGCTAAAGCAAAGAAAAAATTTCCTGATTTAGAATATTAGGTCTTCCAGATTTTCAAATTTTAAAGCTGATTGCTCTTGCCGAGTAGAAAAGAGCTCTCTGAACACCATAGCTGGGAACACACCAAGATTTTAAGAAGACTGCTTTTCTGATTAATAAGTTCAGCTTTCTGTTTTTCTAAGCTATCTTCACGTTTCTTCAGAATTTCTAAGTAGAACTGCTTTTCAGACAGATGCTGGACCTTCCAAGAGAAAAAAAAAGTTAAGAAGTAAGGTTATTGTTTTATTGTTTGATATACTTTGATATTGTACAGTTAAAACACAGCTGCCCCAGCTGCTGGGCTAGCAAAACCATAACAGCTCTTTCTTTTATCCCCCACTTATCTTGCAGGATACCACTAAGCTTTTCAAAATCTTCTTTCTTTGAAGGAGACATTTAGTGGTGGTCTGTCTATCTAGAATGGCAATTTAAAGTCTGCCTGATTCAGGAGATCTTTTTTCAGGTTAAAACCAGGAAAAGTCTTGGCCACATGGGATCTTTTATGCAACACAGGACAGTGTCCTCCATCTAACTGTGTAAAGTTCATCATCTACCAAATCAGACAATAATATTAGAGGGACAGTGGTCCAACAGTGTAGTTTTGACTGACTGGCTGTACATGTCACCAGCTCTGCAATGCCACTGTGGCATATGTGAAGGAAGGAGGGATAAGCTCATATTTTTCTGAGCACAATTTCTGGATTTTTTAGCCAAGAAAGTGTAATGGAAATCAGCTCATTGATTAGAGACAGTTTGGCCATAACCACCCAAAGCCCCAAACTTCAATTTTGCATAGAGATTTATTTTGAGTTTTATTACTTATAACCATTAATTTATCTGATAGAAGAGTATGCTGTTCAACCACTACATTTTCAAAATTTGCTGAGGAGTTCTTCTCAGTTTTCCAGCACATCTGCTACATCGTCTAACCTAAGTTAAGATACATGGTGGAATAAACTATAATAACAGATAAATAGAAAACAGTTAAGTGTTGAAGAGTCTTAAAGGATGAAAACCATTCATCTGATGAAGTTCTCTTGGAGTCAAGAGCAAGACTCAAACTGTAATGCTCAGCAATGAGTAGGGAAAGTAAAGTTAGCAGAAGTGCCCACAGACTGTAAAGGCACAGGGTAAGTATCAGGAAGTAAATTGAATAGTCAGGCTGATAACGTGACTGTTTGTGTGTGTAGAAGCAGAAAAGACCAAATAAGAGTGGTATTAAAGAGGTAAAAGCGAAAAGATTTTAAAATTAAACAATGTAGATGATTTTGGAGCGGGCACAGATCAAGTGCATCTCATCAAAACAGGAGGAGAGTGGAATGAAAATGCCCTAAGATCAGAATGTGAGAGTTGGGAAGGAAAGGACCAGAGTTTTTCCTTATCCCTGATATGCCCAGCATGCTGAGTGTCCAGGAAGTGCTTGCCTCAGGAGAATTTATTTTACATATCAATTCAAAGGAGTAGATGCTCTTATACCACTGTATTTGTATTATTGAACGTAACTAGCTGCAGTGTAGTTGCTCCATCTGTAAGATGCCAACTTAATCTATGCATTTGCAACCAATTTTTTTAAAGAAATCATTGAGCTATGAACTGCAAAATGTTATAATTTGGGTTCTAATTACATGCTACCTGATTTTACAGAAAAGAGGGAAAAAATGCACTTCCTAGGACTCTTTGATTGACCACAGGCAGTGTCTGTGAAATAGATGTCAAAAAACCTTTGAACTCAGTCTCATCTGCTTGGCCAAGCATCAGCTGCTGAGCATGCATGTGGTTGGATATGTCTGATTATAAAGAACTGCAGTTATTTTGTTCAGGACAAATTGAACAGCATTAGCTGAACAGCATTATTTAATATTATTTGAATTGCATGAACTATTGCAGACATATGTAAACCTGATTCCTGTACTGAAAAAGAAATTACTTTAAATAATGTCCATAACTATATAATCTTTAAACCTAAATACAGTCTGATTGAAATGTATTTTCCTATTCCACTACTTTTCTGTATCATTTCCTATCTATAAATTAATCAATGTCAGACTAAGCAAGCAAGTAAAATATATTTTTGTGGACATCAGTGAGAATATTATTAATCCTGGTCAGTAAAGCACATAAAATTTAATTAGGAATGGTTCTTCAGCTCTTCCCATTAGTCATTTACAATAATGGCTCTACTCTTGGGACCTTCTATAACCTACCACACGAACCTTGATTATAAATCACACTGCATCAACAACAAATTAGTAGTATAAACATAAAATTGTAATGTTCATAAATAAATTTATGAATAAGACTACAGAGGACTTCACCTAACAAGCAATATCCAGATATAATCTGTGTTGGCTAAATAAGTTACTATCTTAAAGCACCTTTGGGCTCTGAGATCATTACATGCATAAATGTGAGCACGTGAATAACTGCTTGCATGATTATAGTCTGAATTTACAGCCAGTAAATATTTGTAAATGAGTTCTTTTTTATTTTGATCAGTAATGTTGGTATTTATTATATATACTACATAATCCTTTACAAAAGGCAGAAGAGCTTGTGTTTGGAAGGATGAAAATCAACCTCCAAACATTTATTTTCACAACTAGGTGAGGCAATCCCCCAAATGTTCTTGATGCTGTTTATTTAAGTGATAGGATACAACAGTTCCGACTTCAAAGGAGGCTCCAAATCCTTTCCTGTTGTGAATACATATTCTGTCAGCACAGACACTTAAGAGCACCAGGGATGGTATTTAAACTTCATTTTTCAGACAGAAGCAAATAGATTTTCAAATAATTTGCAACTACAGGTGTTATGGGTGAAAAGCTCTGGAAGCTTAATCTGAAAATACACCTGCAGTCTGATTAAATGGAAAGAGTAATAAAGTCACTAAATAGACTTAGAAACTTTCCTCTGTCTTTGGCATCCTTAGAAAAAACCTTAGGTCTTGTCAGCCTTAACTGTGAGCCTGGGCTTACAGAAAGGTCTTCAGTGTATGATTCAAGCTCCTGTGAAGTAAACACAGGGAATGTTTCCATATATTTTTTCCCGTGGAAGGCTGTTAGTGAAGCACATCAGGCAACCAAAAAATGCCTTTTGGGCACTGAAGGAAACGCTGTAACAAGTGTCAGGACTGTTAAAGCAGGAAATCTCACACCACAGCCCAACAGTCAGCCTGCCCACAGCTGGTGGCCGTATCTGGTGCATGCAGTGACCTGTCCATGGTGACGTGCTCCCTGCCAAGCTCTGGCTGTGGAGAAGGAGTGACTGTGCACATGCCCTGATTCTAGAGTTTCCAGATTTTGGAATCATTATCTGGAAACGTTGCTAACCTTGAGCCGAGCAAGTCCCTGAGCACAGCCAGGGGCCAGCCCAAAGGGTGAGATTTGTGAGAGGAAGGATGTTGACAGACCCTTTTTTCACTGCAGGAATGCGCGGTGCAAGTTTTCTCAATGCTGTATTCCTCAGCAAGGGAAGCACACTCCTTGAAAGTGCTTATGAATCTATTCCTGAAAGGTCATATATTTGTAAACATAATGTATTATTTCATTATTATGTACACTCTAAATATGCCTGCTTACCTTAGTTTCTAAGTTAACTTTTGCAGCGCTCAGCTCTTCTTTTATTTGGTTAATTTTTTCATAGCTTCTGTTTATGTCAAATTTAGCTGCAACAACAAACAAAAACCTGTAAGAATGTTTACTCGGTTTATAAAAGTTACGTTCTTATAGAAACATGCCACTAGCAAGAAGCGGCCCCCCCGGCTTTCCCTGACACAAGTCCCCTCAGGACACCCCGGGAATGGAGAGGCCATTCAGGGTGGTCGGTGCCGCCGCCGGCCCCTCAGGGCCGACCTTGCTGGATGAAGTGCCTCTTCTCCCTCGCCTGCTTCTCTGTGAACTGTATTTGCTGGAACAAAGCGTCCAGGTTCATTTCTGCCTTCTCGTGGAGCCCGTGCTGCCTTTGTGAGGGGCTGGCTGGTGAGGTGCCCGCAGGAAGGTGAGGCTGGGTCTGGCCACAGCCCTGCCCTCAGCGCCCTGCCCTCGGCCTCCGCCTCCCTGGGGAGCGACCAGGGCAGACGGGACATGGCTGAGGGGGAAGAGGGGACACGAGGGGAGGTGAGGGCTGCAGAAAGCAGGGGACTGAGAGGGAACCTCGGGCAGAGGAAAATGTGGGTGACTGGCCGGGGGAGCCCGCGTGGGAAAGAGTGAGTGGAAACGAGCAGGCAGGGAAGCTACAGTAGGAGCAGGAGAAGGAAGATAATTGTTGAGGGAAAAACCAGGTGACACTGAATCATGTCAAACTTGGGCACATCTGTGAAACTGGTTCTGGCTCAGCATCTGGGGAGTTTTGATCAAACAGCTCTGACTTCTTTATTTCTCTGAGAACATGTGCTTTATTCCGGTTTTCTGTCGTCCAGAAGCTGTTCTTCTTTACCTTTTTCTATGGAGTGATCACTGTCCTTTCCAAAAGTTGCATCAGCCCAGATTTACTTATCTTTTGAAGACTGATGTCTAAGCTGAGCAGCTAAGGAAGTAGGCTAAAATCTGCTATCACACAGAAAACAAGGTAAATCTGACTCCATAGAACTTACAGGGATCAGACTCAGCTTGGCTGCATTTCACCATGAATGTAAAATGGGCAGAGTTTCTGTTCCAGTTAGTCCCAGCAAGCAAAGATCACAACACAGCCCATTCTACGCTCTTCTGGAGCGTATGTTTACTCTGCTTGGAGCTCCTGCAATGCTCTGGTTTGTATGTTACTCGATATACTTGGAAATGTAAGTACCTGGTTGAAAATATAATTCCTATTACAGGGTTTGCTTCTTCATCTTGGAAAGGATTGACTACACTCTCTGCAGGGAATAACTAAGTGAAGTTGGCCTATTTGCTTTGAGGCAGAAAAAGCCTGGAGGAATGGAACTTTATAGATTTCCAGCCTTTTTAACATTGAAAAAGATTAGGATTATTGACATTCCTGTATTGTTATAGACATTTCCTCAGAGGAGATACTGTCTTAGCATAGACTGCTGCAGCAAAGTTCAGAAATTAGAAAGAGAAAATCTTTGAACATCAAAAGCAAAACAATATACATGAGAGTACAAATGTCTTATTAATCAAAAAGCTGTTCTAAGTTAGCAGACTGAAACTGAGAATTCTGGAAAAATGTTATGCTATAGCATTTACTGCTTAAAAGACGCTATGTTATAGCTGATATTGTGCTATAAAATGGTGCTTTTAAAAGGAAAGACATTGCTCTATCTAGGAAAGAAAATGTGGGTTCTAATGAAATTTAACCCCCTGAAACTAGCACATTATGTTGCAGGAAATGCAATTATTTTTTAAAATGGAACAAAGTGCAACTGAGGGAGAAGAGTTCACAGAAGTGAATTTAGAAAATGTTTCAGAAGTGAAGCTTCCTACCCAAAGGCCAAAGGAAAGGCGGATGAGTCAAACAGGAACATTTGGTGATTGAGACAGTGATTTGTTACACAGGTCTGATGAGTGAAAAAGTCATTTTACAAAATTCAAGAAAATGAACTGCTCTATCAGGGGATCAAGGAGAAAATAAAATGAAAAGCTTTCTTTGAAGTTTTTGAGACTTGACTGCTTTTGTGTTTCAAACTGAGAAAGCTGCTGTAGGCTGGGATAGTGTTCAGTCTCACTTATTAAAGGAACAACTGTGTTTTGTGGAGGGTGCTTCAGTGCCTCTAATTATGGCAAAGGAGCTGCTCTCCCTAGAAAGAAGAGTCTGACTCCAACTGTACTTCTCACTGTCTGAGAATGACCATTCAGCAAGATTAACAGTTCTGTAAGAGTTTTCTTCAGAGGCCAAAAAAGTTCAAAATGGGACATGTATTTGACTTTAGCTTCAGAGCTTTTGACTCCTTCAGCTATTTGCCATGTGCTTGATTTTTTACATGGTAAATAACTCAAAATAATAACAACTCAGGATTATATAAATTGAACCACATGTGTGAAACATATACAAGTGATTTCAGAATTAGGATCAAGGCCTGACTTCCATGAAAATGGATGAGATGGCATGAACCTGAATGTGATATGGTTTGAAGTTGGCTCCCTGCCAAGTCTCCAAACCTTACCAATGTTTCAGAATGAAAATAAAATGTGCATTACCTTCACTCAACTCCAACTTTTGCCAAGTATAAGATCTCTTCTAAATCACTAGCTGTTAGAAAGGTGACTTTAATTTCATTCTCTCGGTCATATCAGTACATCCTAATCTTAATCTATATCTGTATCTTAATCACTGTGCTGTAATCAGGTCATGTCTTTTTAGTGTTCTTCAAAATTAGTAATTGCCCTTTGTAATCAGGCTGCTGTGCTAATAGTGAAGTTTCTTCTAAAAGTTTCTTCTCTAGTTTGTGTAGGAAGAAGAAAAGAAAGATTTTCTTTGTGATTTCGAGTCAGTATAAAAAATCATTACTGTAATTTATTTCTAAATCATATGTGCTCAGATTGTTTCAAAAATTGTTTTTCTAAAAGACAAAAATTAAAGAGGCAAAAGTAAAGAAGCAGCAGGGTAAAAGTCAGATGATGCAATGTGGACTTCACCATAAAAAATGTATAATAAGAGCTAGAAATTGTAGGATTATAGTTGCAAATAAATGTCCTCTTTTGGTCTTAAGCGTTGTTAGTATTATTTTTCCATATACAAACTACACTGTTTACTTTTGAAATGCTTTATTTATAGCAAACCTTCTTACCAAACTACATCTCTCTGGTCTCCCTTTCCTGTTGGTGGCCCTTGTATTTGACATCTATTTTTGCAGTAACTTTTTTCTACCTTACATGAAGGAATAAAGCCAAAATATTCCGTGGCATAAATTTGCCACTGTCATTTTGTGTTCAGTGCTGAAGTGCTGTTTCTTTTACGGGAAATAACGTATCTGTGTGTCTGTGTGTGTACATGTATTGAGGAAAAAAAAGAAAGGAAGTTCACTAACCACTTGGAATGCAATGCTAAGCAGCAATGCTATCAGAGAGAGAGCACAAATAGTAGAAACCCAGTAATTATTTGTCACAAGTATGCATAAAAAAATCACAGACTTATTAAAAATTCATTTTATAGTGTCACTTTTTAAAATCAAGGCTGTAGCTCTACTATTTAAAACTTTGCTGTTAAAATTCAGCAAGCAGTGTAAACTGGTAACATAAAATAAAGTGTTTTCAGTGTAAATCAAGAACATTTTGTGTCGTGGTTCTCCTGCTCTGGCTGTCCACCCATTGCATGGCAGGGTAGGATGGAGCTGTTCTGTCTCTTCCATTGCCTGTCTCCCGGGATGGGTGGAATGGGGGAGGCACAGGAGCAGCAGAACAACCTCTTGGTGGTTTCTGTTTGAGTATATTTGAGTTCCTATTAATAAAAGAAATGGAAGAAAAAAAAATAACAAACCCAGAACTCAACTACTGAAACCTAGAGCAGGAAAACAGGGAAGGGGAATATTAAGATGCAGGAATAACCTATAATTTATGACCTATCTCAAATTTCCTGAGGAACTCAGGCTGAAAACAGTCTAGTTTTAATCTCTGGAAGAGGGAGAGCAAACTGCTGTCCCACAGGCTGGAAGCTCCCAGTTTCTATTAGACTGCTGACCAAGGGAGTCCTGAATGAACACTGTTTGTTCCTTGTAAAAGGAAGGAAATAAACTACAAATTCACATAATAAAATATAAAATACTTGAAAATTTAGAAATAAACCCCTCACAACTTCTATGGAAATGGATACAGAGAAATAAGAATGTTTCTTTTTGCCCCAAATTCCTATTTGTTTTTTCAGGTAACAAAACAGTGAGTTAGTGAAAAGCTCTGTGTGTTTATTAAATACCACTAAGAAGTAACTTTGTATTCCCCCTTAACTTGCCTGGCTGCAATGGAGCATTAGCATACCCTTTTCCACTTTGGTAGGAATGTAAACAACTTCACAACAGATGTTCTTTATAAGGACAGAGCCTGCTATTTGCATTGTGATATCTCTGTTTGAGTCTTATATCCAAGATTTTGTTTAATTCCATCTGGAAAGGCTTCACTGGATCCCCTTGGCTTACTAAAGCAAAGATTATTCTTTTATGGTTTTAAATCTAAGTTTTCCACTTTCTTTGGTCAGAATCAAACACCACCTGCGTTCTTTGCTGGTTGGTAACTGTGCAGTTATACAGGTATCCACATTGTTCCCCTGTAGTGGTTTGGAATCTTAAATATATTTCAGCTGTTTCTTTTACTGGATCTAAGAGTCTATCCTAAAACTTTTATACTCTTCCGTTCTGTAATATTTGGATAAGTGACAAATGAGACTCTCATTTGAAACATCTATCAGAGCTCTTATTTATCTTGGCACACGGGTAGTAACTTGTCTAATGGAGAAAGAATTTTTCAGATCTGGAGTGCATATCACAGTACAAAATACAACCTTGAATTTGTATTTTTATAGTGAATTTTCTTAATTATTTGTCTGGGAAATTGTAGCTTGCTTGACATCAATACTCATTACCACTAAGTTGGCATCATGTGGAAGCTACAACAGAAACAGTGAATAAGTACTTTTTAGATTTTAATTGTTTTTATCTTCCATTTACATGAGGGGTTTTTTTCATTTTGTATTAGCAGAAATGTAAATGAATTATCTGTTATGTTGTAATGTCTTATAAGAAGATGGGTGGCATTAAATCCTCTGAAAAAGAGGTTGTTAAAGAAATATTTTGAGGATTGGGATTTTCATGCAAAAGATGTCATCTTGGATTGAAATGAAACAGTCTGTTGAAAAGACTTCATTTTAATCAATTAAATAAGATAAGTTTCCTATAAACATATAATGCCAGTATGCCAGTTTATCTCTTTTTATCACATAAATTTTATTTTAATTATAGAGATTCTTAATGGACACTGAAACACAGAAAGTAATAATTTCCCATTTCAATTGATTCTCAGGAGTTCCCATATAATCCTGTTATAGTATTAGA